CCCTTGCCTCTGCCTTCAGACACTGTAATTCCTGCAAGATGCATTCCCAGGTAATGGGTTCTGAGAAAAAGCAACCGAGGTTAGGAGTCAACTGCCTCCTCTTTAATAATTCACATGTCATATTCCTTCCACTTTGTCAAGTTGCCTAAGGAAGACGGACAGGGCCGAGCCAAGCAGCCCCTGCACTCGCTTATCCCGGGGCTGGGGGGGATCCCGCGGGGGGCGATGCCCCCTCTGCCCCCCGCGCCAGGGGCAAACCTGCCCGCCTCGGCCCTCGCGTTGCCATCTGCTCCTTTCTCCCCGGCAAAGGCACGATTGTTTCATGCCCAGCTTCCCCATTCCCATCGCTCTCAAAGAAAGGAGACCCCCCCACACACACCCACCCCTCCTCCCTTTACCTCCGGGGCTGGCCCTGGACATCTCCTGCTGCCGCAAGAAAAAATCTCCTGCCCCTTTGCCCAGAGACAGGCTCCCGATGCACGAGATAGGAGCCCGGGCTTCCCCTTGCCCCCCCGACGGTGTCTCTCGGGGGACGGGACCCCTCCACTCCGCTCCTCTCGTTCCCGTTTCGAGGAGAGTTTGCCTAACTCCTCAGCCTCCTGCTGCGGGAATACATCGTCCGCCTTTGCTTCCCTCTCCGCAGGAAGGCGAGCGGGGCTGGGGTCTGCCCTGGACGCGGGCTGGGGTGATGAAATATCAGATATCACGCATCAGGTGGGCATACAGACACAGTATACCCCTCTCCCCTTGCCTACCTCCGCATGCCCACCCCCATGGAGGTGCAATACCCACACCCCGGCTCCTCTGGGGTTTGCCACGGTGCCTGCATCTCACGATACGGGCAAAATACATCATCAGACCCATCGAAATGCCCCGGATTTCCCCCTGGAAGCTGGCTTTTCCTGACGCCGGGTGACTGGGAGCGCAGTGTGCGCGTCCAGCGAGCCACCCGGGCCACCGAGACGCGCTTTTTAAGCCTCCCCTTCATGTTTCCCTGTCGTGCCAATCGACCTGGTACGATCTGGGGTGCAGGTGACTGGTGCCAAGGGAGGATGGCTTTTTCTTTTCAAGTACAGTGTCACTCTAAGCACATTTGAGCCCCGGGAAAGCAGCGAGTGAGAGCAAGACGGAGACTGTCTGGGGCTGGCTCGTGCGCGTCCCGTGCAGCCCCTCCTGGCGATGAATCTTGCCTCGCCCGGGTGCTGGCTGGTCCCTGGGGCATTGATTTCCTCCCGATGGCTTGAAAGGAGTAGGCTTCTTCATTTAAGGACTATGTTTATGACTAAGGACATAGGCAGATAAATCGGATCTCTCTTATTAGACATAGTTGTGGGGGGGGGGATTCTTCTTTGCAAGCTTTCGGGTACAAATCCGTGCACAGAAGATGTTTTCCAGTTGTTTGAACAGGCGGCATCAGATTTAACCCAAGGAAACTCGTCTGCCTATGTCCCTGCCACCTGCACCCGTGTCAGGAATAGCACATCTGAGCTGCTCTTTCTCCCCCTTGCTCCGCGGTTTCAGACGTCTCACCCGAAACAATAGGGCCCCTGCTTTTATCTGCCCGGTTTCGGTAACTTTATACCCGAAACGGAAGAGCAGGCAACTTTGGCAGGAACTTAGCAGAAAGGGCTTATCAGCAGGAGCGAAGATAAGCGCAGCCCTCCAGGCCACCGGGAAGCTTGTCTGGGGGAGATTGCCCCGGGGCAGCCGGAGCAGACAGCCGGGCCCCGGGTGCAAGGGGCTTGGGGGCTGGGGGGAGAGGGGGGTTGTCAGGGGAAAGCTCCCTGTTACCTGCAAGCGTGACAACCCCCCCGGAAAGCCCCGATGTGAGGGGACAGGGAAGCATCTCGAGAGGTGAGTGTCATGTCCCACAGGCTGGAAGGGGCTAAGTTTCAAGCGTGTGTGAGAGAGAGAGAAAGAGAGACCAGGAGAGGCGAGTGTCATGTCCGAGAGGCTGGAAGGGTATTAAAGTGCGTGTGTCAAAGTCAAAGGTTTGAAGCGATTCATGCTGAGCTAGGAATAGGAGCTGACTCCAGCTCTATAAAACACGGGAAAGCTCATGGCTTGAAAAGGCATCTCTGCCTGGCACAAAGCACCTACTTTTTCTCCCTTCGCCCCTGCAGAAAGGCAGTCATCTCTTCTCCTGCAGGACGAAACTAGGGGTACTCCCCCCCCCAGCACTGTTCTTCCACTCCCCGAGATCTGAATCCTGCACAAAAGTGGCAGGAGAGAGACGCGGGTGCCAAAGCTGCTACTCCAGATAGAAATGCAAGCCCGGATCTCGGCGAGAAGGGAGAGACTGCGACCATCTTCCATTGGCAATCAGCAATGAAATGCATTTGAAAAGCTGCCAGGGAGAATGAGGATGGGAGCTCTATCCTGCAAAATCAGATGGTTTAAAGTGTCCCTGAGCAGCTGTTAAGCTTGGTTTTTTTTACACCTGCGAAGTTTGCTTATGTGGATGCTACTAAAGACAGAGCTATCGAGTGCCTGACAGACTCTGTAAAGTCCTTGGCATCCTTCTCTCATGCTCTAATTATGTGACAGGCAGCGGGAGGAGGAAGGATGCACGGTGGCTGCATGTGTGTCCCCACCTAGGTGGCTATACACCCCGCACCTTGCCAGGCACACTCACCCCCACCCAGGGGACCTAGACAACCACAGGTCCTGGCGGGGCTCTTGATATCACCAGGAGATGACCCTGAAATAGGGAAGAAGAGAACTGAAGAGAGGCTGAGGGAGCTGGATTTATTTAGTCTGCAGGAGAGGAGACTGAGGGGGGATTTGATAGCAGCCTTCAGCTACCTGAAGGGGGGCTACACCAAGGATGGAGCTGGACTGTTCCCAGGGGGGCGGCAAATGACAGGACAAGGAGCAATGGGCTCGAGTTGCAGCAAGGGAAGTTTAGGTTGGATATTAGGAAAAACTCTCTCGCTAGGAGGGTGGTGAAGCACTAGAGAGGTGGTGGCATCTCCGTCCTTGGAGGTTTATAAGGCCCGGCTTGACAAAGCCCTGGCTGAAGTGCTCTAGTTGGGGATGGTCTTGCTTTGAGCAGGGGTTTGGACTAGATGTGACCTTCCTCCCAACCCTCATTTGATACGATTTTATAAACACAGCACAGGCAGGGAAAGCTGGCACACGAGAGGAGGGGAAGGGGATGCCAACCTGCCCAGAAGTTTAAAGCAAGAGAAAAATTGCCAGCAGCTCCAGCGCTCCCTAACCATGGCCAGTTGCTCTCTGAAGAGCAATACTGAAGCAAGCTCAGGGGCTCTGCTCTTATTAGTGGGAGGGAGGGTTAGGGTTAGGGTTAGGGTTAGGGGGCCTTCCTACCTCCCCCCGACACCCTCAGCCCCTTCCCCGAGCTCGCAGGAGATGCTGCATGTCCAGCCCCGTGGCTGTATCAGGGATCCTGCTCACACCTATCTTTCCAAGTCATCTTCACTCTGTCTTCAAACCAGCGAGAGCAGCTTTTGATTCCACTTGCTCTTGCTTCTTATTGAGCTCTCCATGTCTCTCTGCAACTTGTCATAACCTGTAATCAAATGCCCCCTTTTTTGTCGGGAGTTAAAGTCCAGAGAGCATCAGATCTATTTCCAGCTGACAGCAGACAAGAGACGTGGGGCAGCAGCTGGAGGGGCTCTTTTGTCTGCCTCTGGCTTTTAACTGTTTCACAGCTACAAGCCACAGAGCAGTGCCCGGCCCTGCACCCCGGGGGCAGCCGCTGGGCCAGAGCCCCTGGGAGCTGCCGGGTCCGGATCCCAGGCAGGGGCTCCCCCTCTCTGCTCCTTTGCAGCAGGAGGGAGCTGGGGGTCCCTGGGCATCTGCCCGGGTGGGAGCTGGGCAGAGGGAGCCGAATATCAGCAGGCACTGGGAGAGATGAAGTCTCTATAACATCCAGATTTGCCCATTACTGAAACAAAGTGGCAAATTCCCTTCCTGTTGCTGCCAGGACCAAAATCTCAGGCCTGAGAATCCAATTTGCACAGAGAGGGTTTAGGTCATTGGCAGCCAAACTATGACTACTACTACTACTATCATCATCTTCATCCTCTTCGTCTTGGTTCTCTTCTTCTTCATGATTATCATAATAACAACAATAACACCAACAATAATAATATGTCACTACTATTCTTATTAAATAATGATAATGATGATAACTGTAATAATATACATATTGTGGTATTACTTCTCCTATTAAAGAATGGAGGTGAGGACAATGATGGCAATAATAATAATAACAGTGATAATAACAATAACAATGTTGATAATCATAACTATCACTGAAAGAAGTAATGCCACCTATCTAACCATGTATATTACCAGTATATTTGTATATGTTATAGATGGATACATTATATAGACTTTATATGTTATCTAGAATATGATGCCTCCTCTCTCTCTGGCTCTCTCCCCAAACCTACACAAACATATGACCACTTTTCACCATTTATGGAGTCTCCCGCACACTTACAAGAGTTGTGGAGGAAATACTCTGGTGAGCAGTAGTGTCTGGTGGTTTACAGGGTTAAAGGAGTTATTAGGGGAAAAAAGAGCGAATAAAAGGAAGATCTAGGCCTTGGCATCCTAGCCCCCAGCCCTGCCTGGTGTCCTCGGCAGTCTCTGCAGAGCTCACTAGCTGAGGCTGGCCTCTGATTAAGTATTTATGGGTACTGTATCTTTGCATAACATTTACTCTGCATTCTTTCTCCTGCTTCCCCCCACTCCCCATTGCAAACAGCCTGGATGCAGACACAGCTTCTGCGATGATATCAAGAAAGAGTTTTTTTTTTTTTTTTATGGTCAGGCCAAAGCGAGGTC